GAAAATTCTATCCAGAAAAAAGTTCATGTGTAATGCATTTTAGAAATACATCAAAATAAATGAGATACTAAGTGCCCATTTCAGAGTTTCCTCACAACATTCCACCAAAATGAGAGTGAAAAGTGTGCATGTGGTGGGTGGGAGACACCATATGTCCCATGAAGGCAAAAACTGTGACAGCGTGAGTTTTGTAAATAGAAAGTTAAGTGCTTGTTGTGAGATTGGCAGGCTAGCAGTGTTCAAGAGGTAAATTTATATAGGTACAATAGAACTAAACCCAAAACAGGCAGCAAACAGTAACTCTAGGCTCAGGTAAAGTTAGATGCTAAATATGAAAGAATTGGTTGAAAGTTGATTTAAGAAGCTTTCAGGGCCTCCACTGGTGGCGCAGCGGTTGAGCGCTGGGCTGCGAAGCTACCCACAGCCTCTGCAGTGGCGGTTCGATCCCCGGCCACCGGCGAGGGTACCACATGGCACGCTCCCCTCAGCAGTGTATTTTGGTCCATCTGCCTGTTCTGTTCCCCGCTCTGGCTCTGGTGAATTCTCGCACCCTCCCACACTTCCTACTGTACCCAGTACTTGTATAAATAAATAAATCTTTAAAAAAAAACAACAATATACTGTCAGATCTGCACAGGTCCAACAGAAGACAGGTTGTATTTTCTTCATAGTAGTTGAATGTAAGGGGACTCTGGACTTCAGGACACCATGCCCATGTTCTCATGCCCAGAGGAGAATAAAAGTACATGTTTTCAAGATGATTAACTGTAAGTCTGCTTACTGATCACTGAGACTGACAACTGCTTTCCTTAAGAAGTAAGTCTCATTTCCCATTGCCACCCAATCCCAATCTTCTAAACAGGTAAAACAATTATAAGAGTAAAAGACTGTAGATGCTGTATTAAGGTAGATATCCCAATCTAATTAGTCAGACTTATGCCCAATCATTCTGCAGTGAAATATACAATTTGACAAGCTGCTCTGTTCATGCACAGGTTGTCCAATTATTTTTTCAGTACTTCACTGTCTAATATGAATGGTCAGTCAGGTATCACGAGACATTTGGGAATAAACAGACCAACACAGAGAAAGGGAGCTGGGAAACACAATAGGGACCAGAAGAATACTTAATAAAAAATATTGTCAGAGAGATAAGAGAAGTTGCATTCTATGAGGCTGTAAAAAGGGAAAAATATAGAGGACAGAAAACTGTTGGGGATCAAAGAGATACAAATTCTGCCATTATAAAAGTAAGTAAATCAAGTGGTGTAATGCACAGCATGGACTCTTACCGGCAATAATATTGTATCACATATTTGAAAATTGTTAAGAGTAATATATTTATAATCTTTCTCAATGATTTCAAATGAGTCATGTTGTATACCTAAAAGTAGTTTGCAATTAGATATCCATTTAAATTAACAAAGTGCTTAAAAAAGTGAGGCATAAAAATTTTGGGGAAATGAAAAACAGAGTAGAAATTTAAAACCCAGCAGGATAATTGGAATATAGATTTGATGAAGTTATATAAAATGTAGATCAGAGATGAAACGTAGAGAAGAAAAATTTAAATCAATTCAGTTAGTCCACATACATTACATTATAGAGGAAGTTTTGAAAAACTAAAGGATATGACTTTACAGGTTGAAAGGAAGAGGAGGAACAATACATTAAAGTTGAACAACTCCACGTTCTATAATAGTGAAATTGCAGAACAGTGGATATAAACAGAAGATCCTAAAAACTTAAGAGAAAACAAATGATATATAGATTAGAATCCAAATAGGATCAAACTTCTTAGGAGCAACGGAAGTTAGAAGGTAGAGGAATAATATCTTCAACATTCTGAGAAAAAATAAAGTATAACTGAGAATTCTCCATGCAAGCTCTCAGTTAGATATAAGGCAGATACGGATATGTTTAAATGTGTAAGTCTCAAATTTTTTTCTCTCCAACCCGTCACATACTAGAATTGCTAAAATGGAAAAAAAAAACACAACAATACCTAGTCCTGATGAGAATGCTGAGTAATTATTACTCTTACTACATAATAGAAATGTTAAGTGGTACAACTCCTTTGAAAACAACTTGATAAGCATCCACTTAATAGAGGACTCAAGAATTCTACTGCTCTAGGTATTTACCCAAGTGAAATGAAGGTATGTTCATGCAAAAACCTGTTTGTGGTCTTTATTCAATCTCATTCCATATTAGAAATAGACCTAAATACTCACCAACTAGTGAATGGATCTAGGACTTAGAAAGAATTGATAGAATTACACATGAAGTAACATGGATGACTTTGGAATGTATGACTAGGTATATGTATGATTATTATACAAAAGGTAGGTAAATATTGTATGAATCTATTTATATGCTTTCCTGCAAGGAGCTATTAAAAAAATTCAGAAATTAGATCAGTGGTTGCCCCAGGTTGGGAGTAAGGAAGGGGATTGACTACAAAGGGATACAAGGAAATCATTGGGATGATGGAATTGTTCTGTTGATCTTAATTTTGGTGCTGGCCACACACTGAATATGTTTGTCAAATCTCAGCAAACTGTATGGCTAAAAAGGGTATAAATCACATTAAATCTGACATCAAAAACAAGGTTATCATTCAACCTATCTTTCTCAGAAAACAACTAGAGGAATATGTACCATCAAAACTAAGAAGTAAGCTGAGAAAGAGGAGGTGTGGAAATCAGGAAACCGATAATTTAGTGTAGACAGGGATTCCCATGAGGATGGTTACATTTTATTCCAAGAAATACTTACGCCTCGGCACAAGAAAATACAATCATTCTAAATTGGAATGAGGGGGAATAGCTCTGTGGAACATTTCTCCCGAAGTAAAGTTGAAATTGATAAAAGTAATTTGATGATTGAATTGGTATTAGTCACATAAGAAACAGCAAACTGAAAAAGAATAGAGAATTTTGAGTTAATCACCCTCTACGGACTTAGCTATGGATGATAAGTATAATATATATTAAGTGAAAGCCAAAAGTTATCTTAAAATTGTGAAATAATATTGAGAGCGTGGGGAAAAGAGAGGGTATGTGTGCACATGTGTGTGGTTATATTGATGCCAAATAAAATAGCTAGAAGAGTGAAAATGATTGCTTTTGGAGATCAGAAATTAGGTTTAGGTTTGCAGTAGAGCAGAAGACATTTCATCATAAGCATTATAAAATCTATCAAATATATATGATTGGGTTTTTGTAATGTTCATCTTAACAAGTTTATATTTTTAGACGTTATTTAAAGGAGTCTTTCTTTACACTGAAATATTCTGTTATGTTGAAATAACCACTTCCCCAATAATGTCAGACATTAGGTGAGTCTTTTTTTCTGAGGTTAATGGGTAAAAGATGAGTCCCTGAATGAAGATGATTGACTCTCTTCAGTTACTCCATAAAAGTTTAAACTGTTAGTACTATTAATTCAAATTTCATGTTTTCTTTTTCAAAATACCTTTATACTTAGCTATTAATAACATGGCATTGTATAAATGTTTTTAATGAAAATATACTAAGATTAAAACCATCCACAATCCTATTACTCAGAGGTGACCTTTTTGGATTTTTTCATTTACATCTTTTCCCTCTCTTCCTCCATTTCCCTTCTCTCTCTCTCTCTCTCTCTCTCTTTCTTTCCTTTCCCCCTCCACTAAATTTATTTATTTTTCTTACATTGTTGTTCATTTGTGTACAGTAGTTTCTCCCTCAGGTGTAGAGCCCCTGGTTTTCCCACTACCATATACCCTGCGAACCATCACCGTGTTCTCTTGCGCTCTTCCCTCCCCCATTTTGACATCTCTCCCTTCCCTTCCCTTGCTGTATGCCTTGTCTTGCAATTTTTGTCTTTTTCTTGACCTTTTGTTTAGTGTCTCTGTATTCAGCATATAAGTGAAACCATCCTATATTTATCTTTTTCCTTCTGACTTATTTCGCTTAGCATAAAACTTTCCAGTTCCATCCAGGTTGTTGCAACTGGAATGAGTTTATCTTTTTTCATCACTGAGTAGTATTCCTTTGTGTATATATAATACAGCTTTTTGATCCATTCACCTGTTTGGGGGCATTTGTGCTGTTTCCTTATCTTGGCTGTTGTGACCAGTGCTGCAATAAAGATAGGTGTGCAGGTTTTTGTGTCCTTTGGGTAGATTCCTAGGTGTGGTACTGCTGGATCACTTGGTAGATTCATTTATAGTGTTTTGAGGAACCTCCGCTAAACACCAGTTTGCATTTACACTAGCACTGTAAGAGGCTTCCTATTTCCCCACATCTTACCAGCATTCATGGTTTCCAGTTTTTTTTTTTTTTTTTTTAATATGGGCCATTCTCACTGGTGTGAGATGGTATCTCATTGTGGTTTTGATTTGCTTTTCCCTGATAATAAGTGATGTTGAACATTTTTTCATATGCCTGTTAGCCATTTGCATTTCTTCTTTTTTAAATTGAGAAATGCCATGTGCCTTTTACTAGTGGGTAACTATAGGAGCTGTGAATTTGGCAAGGAAAGAGGAATCAATAGAAAAGGTAAAGAGAACAGGAAACCACAAAGAACAGTAATAAAGGATTAAAGCAAAACAAAAACTCTAGTGCTTCTAAAACAAGAATCAAGTTCAAGTTCTGCTTGTCTGGATCCTGAAGTGAGCACATCATACAAAAAGCGAGCTTTCCTCCCAGTTTCTTTTGTGGTAGTCTAAGTCTCCCATACTCTACTAAGGGAGAAAAGGTTGTTACTTTACATAGACTCAGGATGGGTATCACAAACAACTAACAGGTTCTGATACACAGAGTACTTTTTTCCCCCAGTTTCTCCAAATACCGTCTCTCAAAAGACATATTACAGAAAGAAGTTATTAGAAGAATATCTTATTGAAAAGGGTGACGTAATTTATATGCGTATACTTTTCTTCAGTATAAAGTGTAAATTTAAAAAAATTAGAAAGAAAAATAAATGTAAAATGTTATTTTCCCTCCCTCTTCCAGTGTTCCACGAATCCCATGGGCCTTTGCCATGACAGAAGTATGTGGTATGATTCTGTGCTACATTTGGCTCCTGGTTCTTCTTCTTCACAAGCACAGGTACCTCACTTACTCCATTTAAAAGACTCAAAGTGTTTTGTCTGTTTTGTGTAAATGTCCTCAAATCTTGTCTCTCCCTTTCCTATTTCTTTGTTAATTTCCTTCTTTAGTCATTGTGGCATAATAGTGACTTAGAGAAACTAACCAGTAAAGGAGACAGCCTAGGGGCATACTACCTACACATTTAGTAATATTCTGAATGTATTTTGCAGGGAAAGATCAGAGGATGGGGATGATCAGCTGTGGAGCAGCCTTTGATAGTCTAGCTTTATCTTTCTTTAGAAACAAATTGAGGGCCTCCCTGGTGTTGCAGGGGTTAAAGTGTCAGTGCTATCAAGCTATTGCCAGCCACTGTGGGATGAGTTTGGCATGAGTTCGATCCCCAGCCACAGAACTGACCCACGTGGCACAGCAGACCTTCCCTGTCTCGCCCGCTGCTCCCCTCAGCAGTGTATCTCAGTCAATCTGCCTGTTCTGCTCCTCACTCTGTCTCTGGTGAATCCTCTCACCACCCCTCAACCTCCAGACTACGCCCCAGTTCTTGTATGCATAAGTAAATAAAATAAATCCCTGAAAAAAAAAAAAGCAAATTGAAAATGTCACTTTCTGTAGAAGAATACAAGCTCGCCCAAGGATAGTCTTTGGTTAAATGTTTGGATGGAAAAGATTTTCTCTGCCCAGAGGAGATCCATTTTTAAAAAGGTTATTTTACATACTCTGCATTTCTAGTCATTGTGGTTCAGATGCAATGGAAAATTGGTGAAGAGGGAGAGTGCTTTTTTTGTACTTTCAGCAAGAAATAAAAAGGGAGTGATCCCCGCCCCCAACATGAGAAACTTAAGAGGAGACTTCTTTTCCACTTCAATGGGCAGAAATTACTTGTTTAAGATTAAAAAATAACATGTGGTGAAGAAAAAATTTAAAAAACTGTTAAATATATAGAACTACTATGTCTTTGGACAATGAAAAGGAATAAGGACACTCTTGAATTTTGACCCTTTTGTCTCACCAGGGAGTACCTGAGGTAAACTATAGTCATAGGCTTTGGGTCCTAAGCAGCAGTTGTTTCAGTGCTTTGGACATGAAAGGAAAAGTTGATGACTGCTGTTCTTTTTTTCTGTCTAGGCCCTGCAGAGCAGCCCCCCCTTTTTTATCTTTCTTAAATTGTTCATTTTTGCACAATATTTGATTTCTTCCCTCAGGTGTAATCCCCATAAATTTCCCATGACCACCTCACCCATGAACCATCACCATAGTCACTTGTGCTCTTCTCTCTCTTGTAGCAATCCTCTCCAGCCCCCTTCCATGCTGTATGTCTCAGATCTATCAATATAATTTGCCTACTAATTTTGTCCTTTTTTTCTCTGACCCTTTGTTCAGTTTCATGATTACTGTTCTTGTCACACTATGAAATGCACACAGATTGTAGTTCATTCTCCCGTTTTATAGCAATATTTGAAAGTGTGGATTGCTTAAAACCATAGGTTTATGTTTTTCAAACCATAGTATCATTACTGCTTTCTGGCGTAAAGTTTTCTCACAAACCACAGATTTGAATTTTTCCACTGTTCAAAACAAGAGTTGACCTTATAAGAATTCTTGATACATACAGCAAAGCATAACAGTGGCCAGTTAAATGCAAGTATTGATGTTTAATTATAAAAATCAGTGTTTCTTAAAGTGTGTCTTTGTACCACTTGTTAAACTGCATATTCCTAGGTTTCATCCCAGGGGCATACGCTAATACACCTAATCTTGTGTCTGGTGGTGTTTTTGAGGAAGGAACGTTTTTTAAAAATGTATAGTGCATAATATGTATACCTAAGAATTTCATAGTCTATTTTGCTTAACACAGTAAAAAATAAGCACACAATACACTTATGCCTTTATAACTTAAATTTGAGTTAGAAGCTACATATCTACTATCATTAACCAAATTACAATGTAATGAATGAGCAGAAAATCCCAAGAATCACATTTTATTTTCCCTTACATTCAATAAATAATTCATGAGCACCTGACCTAACACTAAGCTAAGAGTCATATGAGATACTAATTGTTTTCCTCTTGAATAGCTCTTACTTTTCCTTATCCATAAAGTAATGCTCTTAGATCTGTAATGTCCAATGTGGCAGATGCAATGTGGCAATTTAATCTTAATTAATAAAAATGTCATAAAAGTAAAATTCACTTCCTCAGTTATACTGGTCACATTTAAAGTGCTCAGGTACTGCTTGTAGATAGTTATAGGAAATGCCATTATAAAACATTTCCATCATTAGGGACAATTCTATTTAGCAATGATTTTTTTTTTTTTAAGATTTATTTATTTATGCATACAAGAACTGGGGTACTAGGCCAGAGGTGCAGAGGGTGAGAGGAATCACCAGAGACAGAGTTGGGAACAGAAAAGCAGACTGACTGAAATACACTGCTGAGAGGAGCCGCGGGCGAGACAGAAGAGGTCTGCTGTGCCATGTGGGTAACTCTCTGGCCAGCCAGGGATCGAACTCATGCTGCAATGGCTGTGGATAGCTGTATAGTGCTGTGCTTAACCCCTTGCACCACCAGGGAGGCTCAGCAATGAAGTTTTAGATGGTCTTTGAGATGTCCAATCTCTTCCAAGAGTCTAGTTAGTGGCTTTCCTGCTTACTCTCCCTTTAAGTAAACATTTCATGCCTGGCGTGTTTTGGTTTGCTTTCTTCTGATCTTTCTTCCTTTTTGGTCGCTCTGTTTACAGGTCAATCCTTCTGCGAAGGCTCTGTAGTCTGATGGGCACTGTATTCTTGCTTCGCTGCTTTACCATGTTTGTGACTTCCCTCTCCGTACCAGGACAGCATCTGCAGTGTACTGGAAAGGTAGCCTGCTACCTTCTTTATCATGCTTTTTCTTCTTGTTCTTGGTGGGTTAATGGCATCATTTATGCAATGGGTCTAGGACTTTGCTTTTAGTATTAAAATGTGCTTTTTTGTATATAATATTTATAGTAAGCCTCTACAAATTATTTGGTAATTTTTTTTTTAAGATTTATTTTATTTATGCATATAAGAGCTGGGGTACAGGCCAGAGATGTGGGGGGGGGGTGAGAGGATTTACCAGAGACAGAGCGGGGAACATAACAGGCAGACTGACTGAAATACACTGCTGAGGGGAGTGGTGTGCGAGGCAGGAGAGGTCTGCTGTGCCATGTGGGTTGCTCCCTGGCTGGGGATTGAACTCATGCTGCAGAGTCTTTGGATTGCTTCATAATGCGGTGCTTAACCCCTTGCGCCACCAGGGAGTCCCTATTTGGTAAAAAATCTTAAGCCAGAATCTGCTTCTCTGAACTTCTGTACACTGATAGTGGTAGTTCTATGCTGTGGAACTGTAGAAAAAAGTTTTTCAATTATCATTTTCTTTTCCCACCCTCAGCATCATTATGATGTTCCGCATAATGTGACTGGTCCTTTCATTGTGTCATCAATCATTACTTTACTTTTGGGGGAATATAGTAAATAATGTTTTTGTGGGGTTTTTTTGTATTAAACTGTATAACTTTTTGTTATAGATATACTCTAGACATACCTCTTCTGGTTAGTTTGAAAAAGAAACATTTATGAAGGTTGAGACAACCACCCAAAAAAAAACAGTGTAATGAAATACTTAAAAAAAAATTCACCTGAAAATCATCTTTATATACAAAATGTAACTGTTGTGACTTGTTAAATTTAGACAAAAGAATTTATTATCCTACCTTGCTGAACCATCATGCTTTATTTGTTTGTCCCCGAATTTTCAAATGTATATATTAATACCTTTGTTGTTGTTTTAATGTTGTTTGTAAAGTGGGAAACAAAAAGTGTCAGCTCTTCTACTGTAATATCAATAGTTGACATGCCGACTAGGGAAGTTTAAGCAGCCAAAGGAGATCAAGAGCTAAAAATAATAGTCTGAGGTGAAGGGCAACAAAACTTTCTCCTGGTATTAGGAATGCTTAACTGACCTGTAAGAAAAGGAGGAAATTTAATATGACATTAAATGTAAAGGAAATGTTTTATTTCTTTTATTCCCAAAAATGGGAAAACCTTTTTTTCCAATTACAAAATCATGTGAGCTTACTGTAAAAATGCGAAAATTATAGAAAAAGTTTTAAAGTAAATAAATTAAAAAGTAAAAGGTCATATAATTTCTTTTTTTGGTCACCCTACCATATGAATAATTCTGTTAATAGTTGTGTATATAGCCACAGACTAGTTTTAAGCATGCTTACATATACACCTGGTTTTTTTTTTTTAAGATTTATTTATTTACGCATACAAGAACCGGGGTACTAGGCCAGAGGTGTGAGGTGAGAGGATTCACCAGAGAAAGAGTGGGGAACAGAACAGGCAGACTGACTGAAACAAACTGCTGAGGGGAGCAGAGGGCGAGCCAGGAGAGGTCTGCTGCACCATGTGGGTAGCTCCCTGGCTTGGGATTGATCTTGTACTGCATTGGCTGCTGACAGTTTCATAGGTTGCATCTTAACCCCTTGCGCCACCAGGGAGGCCTTCACATAAGTTTAATATATAGGTATATAGGTAAATACTTTTAAAACAAAAGATAGGATTATACTACAGATAATAATCTGTGGCTTATTTAATAGTGTTTACTTTTTTGTGGTGAAAAATATCTAGTATATATATTATCTTTTTAAGAACTGCATAGTGTTCTGTTTCATTGTTTGATTTACTAGTTTGTAAATGATGCATATTTATGTTCTTTCTAAATCTTACTGTTTATAAACAGTACTATCTTAAACATTTTTATACATATATACTTTTTTACTTAATAATTTCCTTATGATAAATTCCTGGAAGTGGAATTCTGCAATCTAGAACATACACATTAAAATTGTTATACAGGTCCTCCCTGGTGGTGGAAGGGGTTAAGCACTAAAAAGCTGTTGACAGCCACTGCAGCACTAGTTCGATTCCCAACCAGGGAGCTAACCCACACGGTGCAGCACATCTCTCCGGTCTCGCCTTCTGCTCCCCACTCTGTCTCTGGTGACTCCTTGCACTGCCCCACTTCCCCCTCACCTCTGGCCTACACCCCGGCTCCTGTATGTATAAATAAATAAATTTTTAAAAAATTGTTATACATTTTGCTAAAAATGTCTGCTTAGAAGAGATTTAAAAGAAGAAAAATGTAAGCTTACTACATTCAAAAGAGAATTTCCCATAGCTGAGGGATTTAATTGTGGGTCATCTACTAAAAAGAAAGAATATATGTGCATAGGGCTGCAACATGTGCTACAAAAATAAATACCATCCTCTACAGTTTGGACAGTCCTTTTTCTGTCTCTAATAACTGTTTTTCATTATAAGTTACTTATATATGGATGTTTCTATTAAAATCTGTCCTAAATACTGTTAATTGCTTTGGACTGTAATATAACCTACTTATTGACCTGCATTATTTGCTGAAATCCTTAAAAATAGAAAGTTACTTGATAGTAACTAGCATTCAAATCCCTTACTGTGAGCTTCTTAAAGTACTTTCATTGTAATAAATTAATTGCTTGAAAGCAAATTCCCAGAAGTAGGTTTGGGGACAGAATCAAATCATACCTGTTTTTGAAATTTAGCAATGGACCCCACCCCCCCCTTCAGGAAAAAAGCACTTAAAACAAATTTTTACACCTTATCATGAGAGCATCTTACTCATGTTGTGCTTCATTTTTTTTCCCCTCCTGGGAGAATATTTGGTACATTTATAATTGGAAAGGATAGGGAAACTTGAATAATTGAGCAAGAAATTGCTTTGTTTTCATGGGCATCACTTGTTTCCTGTCTGAGACAATTTTCTAGCAGTCTCTGTTCTTCCCAGCCTTTTTTTCCCCCAGAAGAGTAGCATCTCAAACCCTATTCTAATTGGAAGTCATGTAACAACCAAACCATGTGTATGTTTATAACTTCTCTTCTTTTTCCAATAATAAATTCCTCTCCCTTACTTGCCCTCAACTGAGACAGAAAAGTAAAGCTGTGTAGTGTATGGTCAGTAGCTGAGACTTCTGATAAAATTGTGGTATCTGACAGAGTTGTTTCTTTTGTTCATTAGACATAGTCAAATCCATAGGACATAGGTCTTCGGAATTGGATTTCCTGGGTTCACATCCTGGTTATGTTACCCCTCTTAACCAGTTGCTTATTTGCACAATTAATTTGCTTCATAGTATTGTTGTGAAAATTAAATGCAGTAATAAACAAAGCACTCAGCAGCATGCCTTGCACATAGTAAATGCTCATAATATTTTAGCAATTTTTGTATTGTTATGTTAAATGTTTTTTATGACTCTTGCTCAAATTCATCCTCAATAGATTTCCTTTTTAATCTTACATGTGGAAGTCAGGGTTGGGTGGGCTGCTAATAACAAAGTATTCTATATGGTTGTAGTTTAAGAAGCAATGGTTTATTCTCTGTCATAAGAGAAGTCTGAAAGTAGGTACTCCATGTCAAGTGTTGTGAACTTTATGGAGTCTTCAAAAAAACCATGATTCTTCTGTCTTTCTGAAGACTGCTTCATGGTCCAAGATGGCTGCTAGAACTTCAGCTATCATGTTTGAGTTGTAGGATAAAAGAGAAAATAGAAAAGACTTCCTCCTAGCTATTCTCTCTTTCCTTTATAAATAATACTGCCCAGAATTTTTTTCTTTAAATTTAGGTAACATTGGATTACAACGATTTAGTTATAACTTCACATTGTTTCAAATGTATGTTACCACATCACACCTACCACCAAGGCACTCAGAGTTCACTGGACCCCCTCCAAATCCTGCTTTCCATTTTCTCTCCATTTTCTATAGTTCTAGGGTTCGAAATTGGTTTTGTTCTATCTGACCCTGTGGTTTTATTTCTGTATATTCCATTTACAAGTGAAACTGTCTGGCTTCTGCCTTTTTCCTTCTGACTTATTTCAAGTAGCTCAACCCCCTCCAGTTCCCTCATTCTTGTCACAATTGTCAAGCTATCACCTTTTTTTTTTTTAATAGCTGAGTATTTCACTGTGTGTTTATACACCACATCTTCTTAATCCACTCATTAGTCCTTGAGCACTTAAGGTTGTTTCTCTACTTGATTGTCATAAATAGTGCTGCAATGAGTAAATATTGCTAAAATGAGTGCATATATACTTTCAAATTAGTGTTTTTGCATTTTTAGGGTAGATACCTAGGAGTGCAATTGTTGGATCATATGGCAGATGTATTTTTAATGTTTTCAGAAACCTCCTTACTGTTTTTCATAGGGACTAGAGCAGTCTACATTCCTAACCAACAGTGAGAAGGGGTTCATTTTTCTCCACATTCTCACAAACTCTTGTTTATTTCTGGTGTTTTGATATGAGCCATTCTAAATTCTAAATGATGAACATTTTCTCACATGCCTGTAGTATATAAATAAACTTTATATAAAAAGTATAAAAAGTCTATCAAGAGTTTTCTATCTAAACCTGCTTACTCGTCCCTTACAGTTTTCTTCATTTGCTCCTGTAGATTTCAGGTGTCATCTGTTGTTTTTTATTTATTTTTTTATTTTTTTGTATTGAGGTAAATTTGGTTTATAACCCTGTATATGATTTTGAGGTATGGGTTCATATCTTTTTAGATGTATGCTACCATAGCACACCTGCCACCAAAGCACTATAATCCTCCACCAGTCTGTTGGATCCTTCTTCCCTTAGTTTCCCAACCCCCAGTTCTCATTTCTTACTCCAATACAGTTTTACCTCTGTTCACCTGTGTTGTGCTGTTAAAAGCACATAGCATTTTGATTACTATAGCTTTGTAGTATAGTTTGAATCCTGGGAGCATGACACTACAAAAAACACATTGTTTTTTGGTGTTTATTTTTTCAGGATTCCTTTGGCTATTCAGAATTTTTTGTGGTTCCATATAAATTTCAGTAACATGTTCTGTTTCTTTGAAGAATACAAAACCTTGATAGAGATTGCATTGAATCTTTCTGTTTATTGCTTTGGTTAAGATGACCATATTAACAATGCTAATTCTTCCAAACTGTGAGTAGGGAATATCTTTCCATTTCTTTGTGTCTTTTGTTTCTTCTAACAATGGCTTGCAATTTTTACTGTATAGGGCCTTTTTATCTCTTTGTTAAGTTTACCTCTAGGTATTTAATTCTTTTTGCTGCAGTTAATGGGATTGTGTTCTTCCTTTCTTTCTCTTTTAGCTCATGTTTGCATATAGAAACACAACTAATTTTTGTAAATTGGTTTCTTGGAGCCCAGACATCATTTACACTTTCATTTACATTTTATCATACACTCAGTAGCCACACCTTGCTGCAAGGGAGTTTGGGAAGTACAATAATTTGGTTGAGTTTATAGCCACTTCAGATAAATTTGAGATTCTCTTTACCAATGAAGAAAGGGAGAATGGATATTGAATGGTACCAATTGGTCCCTGTCATAACCTATTTCTTATTGGCAAGAACTGCCGAGGAAATGCTAATGTGATACTGGATTCTACGGAAACTTGTAATAGAGGAGTTTGAGTTATATTGATTTCATATAAATATCAAAATATTTCTGAGTACAGCCAAACATGACCACCCATTTTTGATGTCTGAAATTGATTAGACTGGAAGTCTGATGATTTTACTTAGGTCTTACTTGTAAGTCATTCAACTTTTAAATTTCAATGGGAGTGGGTATTCAGAAGCTCTAAGTATTTGAAGCACTAATTCATGTTTTCTTTATAGATATATGGCAGTGTATGGGAGAAACTACACCGGGCCTTTGCCATTTGGAGTGGCTTTGGTATGACTCTGACTGGTGTTCACACTTGTGGAGATTACATGTTCAGTGGTCACACGGTTGTCCTAACTATGCTGAATTTCTTTGTCACTGAATGTAAGTATATCTTTACTATTTCTGTGTACATTAGGTAACTAGTTGAGTGACTATAGGGTGTCAAGTTGTATGACATAGGAGGAAACAGACTAAGAAACATGTGACTAAGAAGCATTAGAAGGAATGTGGTTTTAAAATGATCTTTCTGTCCTTTTCCCAGATACACCAAGAAGCTGGAATTTCTTGCACACTTTATCCTGGGTTCTCAACCTCTTTGGAATCTTCTTCATTTTGGCTGCCCATGAACATTATTCCATTGATGTGTTTATTGCCTTTTATATCACCACAAGACTCTTTTTGTACTACCATACTCTGGCCAATACCAGAGCATATCAGCAAAGTAGGAGAGCGAGGATTTGGTTTCCTATGTTTTCTTTTTTTGAATGTAATGTTAATGGTACAGTACCTAATGAATATTGTTGGCCATTTTCAAAACCAGCAATAATGAAAAGACTAATTGGATGAGATCATCTTGGTGTAATGGATTCATGATTAAATGTACAGTAACTGTTGAAAATGAATAACTTTGCTTTCTCCCTCTAGATTGTTCCTGGATGCCTTGCTTTCTGTGTTACATGTTGACAAAGTAAAGTTCCCTGTTATGAGCAAGTCTGTGATTACAGAAAGCCAGGAAGAACAATCAAGAGTCCTTATATATCTGTTTGAACAGAAAGTTTAAGTAGATGTTTTCTGCCCCTTATCTTTAGGCAGACTTAATGTTGTGATTGAAGTTGGCCTGTTATCCTTACGTGTTGAGTATTTGCTTATTGAACTTAAGCAAATTAACTTAAGCAATTTGCTGGTTAAAGGATTTTTTTTCTAGTAGGATTCTGGTCAAGAAATAATTTTTGAAACTCTAGTTGTCTTCAAAAGAAAAGCTCCACCAATTGAGTAGTATTTGTGCTCAGTTGAACTAATCTTTGTGTCTTTTTTAAAAGTACAACTCTTAAAAGAGATCCATTCTGAACCATTTTTAAGAAAAGCATACTGAACATATCAGGGTGTCTGGAACAAGAAAAAAATGCAAGGAACTATCCTTAAGGTGATGAAGTACTTGTGATGAAAACACTGGTGTCCTTATTAATACAAATAGAGAGCTGGCATTTTTAACCAAAGATGCAAAAAAAGACTGGAGTTGCTGTTTTGTTCTGAGTGTTCAGTATGACTATCAGTAAATATTCATAAGGGAAAAATGGTTGCATCCACAAAGTAAAATTGGCTTAATGTTAGTTATATAGGTACCTGGAATAATTTTGTGCTATAGTTGTTAGACAGATGACACCCCAGTTTTATGCTTCTTTAATGCTGTTATCTAATGAGCAAAATAGTGGAGTGTTTTACTAGATGTTAAAGTTCTTCTGTCTTTTTAAATAGGGAGGCCTGCATGCAAAGAATGTTTTTTTTTCTCTCTGAAAAGAAATTTATAACAGGTTGCAAGCATAATATAAATTTTGGTTTTTGAAATTTCTCATTCTGACCATTAGAAGTAAGCCATCTCAGACATACTTGGATTAAAAAAAAGTTTCATTGCTTTTTGTTTTTCAATACGGTTGTGTACATACATTCTTTCTATTTAGTCTGAATTTGGCAGTCAGAAGGTGATATAACTTAGTTGCTGTTTATAACACTAACTTTAGTACCTTAAGTAATTTGACCTCTGTGATAACATTAGTCACTTTACTTTTAATGATTTTGTATAGTAGTTATGACAGTAGAATGGTTGTGGAATTGGAATTAGAACCCCAAATGATAACTACTTGGAATAGTAATTGTGTAGTTTTTGCATTCCATTTTAAAGCAAGGAACCTAGCAGAAGTGCCTGGCATATTAAGGTCTAAAATCAGGCCACTCTGGCAGAATCTTGCTCTTTATATGGGTGAAATTTTTTAATTTTGCACTTTGGGTAATTTTCCCACATCTATATAAACTACAGAGGGATAAAAGGATTGTCATGAAAGGAATATTATACAAACAAGTTTTGACCAGTGCAAAATGATCCCAATTGGGGTTTGCTCTGAACAATGATTTTTATTTCTCATTTTGAGAAATGGCACACTATAATTTTAACTATTACAATTCAAGTTATGCCTTTAAATCTTATACTTCAGAATTTTACATCTTAAACTATTGATTCTGTGACATAGGGACAAAAATGCTAACATTACAACTGAAGAAACTGCAAAATAATGAAGGGTGAAGAATGTTTTTCTCCTCACTTAGACTGATTTGACCCTTGTGGTCTAAAGATGTGTTACTGCCAGTTTTCCTAAATGACAGTAGAGGATCTAATTTACTAGACTGAGACTTTTGGAGGAAGTGTTTGAAAAAAAATCTGTAGCAACATTAATTCAAGAGTGTTAAATACTAAATAATGATAAGTTTTTGAATGTCGATCTTATTTCCTTCATGTGGATTCTATTCTAGAATAAAATAGAAAAAAAAATAGCTTTGCAGAGCTATTGAGATTGCCTAACAGCAGACTGCAATAAGGATTATAAAAAAAAACATTGCTTTATCTTTGGAGAAAAAGGTAAGCTAGATTTATAATTTATTATTTTAACTATTACAAGGCCGTGTTTACATCAATTAATCATCTTCAAGTCTCGCTTTGAAAAGTTTGAGACTTTTAAATATGAAACCTATATTTTAGTTGTATTGTATTGTCCAGAAATTTTTTTTGTATTGTCCAGAAATTTCCAGATTTTGTCTTTGTGGTTTTTTGTTGTTGTTGTTTTAAAATCTAAACCACAGTCAAGGTAGCAATTAAAATTTACATTTGGGGTGTGAATGTGGCTAGGTAAAGAAGCTACATGCCTTAGATCTACATATTTTTTACCTTGTATTAGGTTCTACAGTTCCAAACTTTAGCAACTTGCATCATTGAATCCTTAATATAGAAATAACCAAGAAAGTTTAGTTTGGAATGCAAACTTCTGGTTTTATTGAAAGCCTTTGATTCAAGGCCATAGAAAATAAACCTTTTCTATGTTTCTGGGGGCAGTGTTGCTTTTTTGTTATGTTTCTTTTTAAAGTTCATGCAAGGCAATGTTACTCAAGGGTAATTGAAGTTTGTAAGGGTTAAGAGATTTTGAAGAAGGTAAGATTTCTGTTAACACCAAAATTTGGGGGAGAAAGGTTTTTGGCTTTGTTACAGAATTCTCTATGTAGGTATCATCTCCATAGTTCTCTGTGGCCAGAATTGCTGGGATAAAAGTACAGTTTCCATATGTTGGGTCTGTTTATTAGTTGTTTTTTTTTTTAAGTCAGAAAACAATGAGTTTAGTCTTAGAAATAGTCATTTAGGTAAGTGTGGACTGTTGACAAGCGAAAAGACCCACTGAGCAAGAGACCTGCTGATTAATATAACTCTGACACTGCATGTAGCATTCTTTTGTGTCCTGTACATGCCTGAGTATTGTTCCTTAGAATTCTAAAAATGTTATAATTTGTAAATTGAGAACAGAATTTCCAAATCCTTTTGTTCCTGATATGAAACAATCTGTTTTAGAGACATTTGTTTGGAAAGTGTTGTTCATATATTTGAAATCATTCATAAACCTAATCTGCTTTGACTGTAGTCAGCAAAAGGCAATTTCATATGAACTTTTTTCAGGATTTTATTGCCAAAATACTTAAGAATAACCATATTTTTTTTAAACTCTGTACTAATAAATTTATAGTCTCTTTATATTTAAGTTATCCCTTTTTAAAAGTAATTATAATATTCATTTGTCAGTTCTTTAAGGTGCTCAGGCATTTGAGATACTTTTAGAATAGTCCATTTACTTTCTTAAACAGTATTGGTTTCATTTGTATAGTTTCAAAGCCAAGAAAGCATGTCACTTTGCCAATTTTACTTGACAATTAAGACAGTTTTTGCATTTGTAAAACTGTAAAATTTAGCCCAAATTGCCCCTTAAACCTCTGTAGAGGAGAATTGTTAGTAAAATCAAAAGTCAAAAACTTTGGGTGACCAATGAGAAAGGAAAGAGGTTGAGTTTTTTGGTTTTTTTATTTTTCTATCTTTAAGTGGCTTTGAATGATTGAAATTACTATGGAATTAGACTTTCGTTCCCCTCTGACCTATCCCTTGCCCCAGTGATTGGCACCTATCTCAAATAACTAAAATGTGATATATTACTTTGCATCAAGATTAGTAAAAATATCTGTGAAATCTTTAATCCATATTTCAGCTACTAAAAAAATTGGTTTTTAGAATATGTTCTACCCTAAATTAACCAAAGGTTTTTTTCTGTTCAGTCTATAGCCTATGTTTAAACATAAGGGAGCTTTGTGCCTCATAGGGAGGGAGAAGGAATACTGTTTTTATTTCATTGTTCTTTCAGGCCTGTTCCAATCTGAACTACTGGTTGTCTGAACATAGCCAAATGATATTATCAGTCAGTAATGTCATCTTAAAAATGCCTAATTTTAAGTTATTTTATCAAAGAATCTATAGATTGTTAGGACATTTATGTGTTTATGACATGAAATAAAGGAAGTAAGAACTGGTACTTTACTGGGGGAAGCAAAATTACCTTGGATTAAAGTGGGCATGTTTTATTCTATGAATTCTACCTAAAGGTCACCCTTGTCCGCAGAGAAAGTAGTATTACTTGAAGATGTGAAAGAAAGTTCCTGTGGTAGCCATACCTTGAAGCACAGTATTGTACATAAGTAAATATCTTAATTCTAAATTAAATCCAGATTTAACTAATATATATTATTTTATATCTTTGTTGTATTAAAATGTTTAAAAACACTAAAAATAAAACATTTGAAAGTTGGATTTCAGTCTCTTCTTCTTCTTCTTTTTTTTTTTGTGGGACCCTCGCCAGCGGCCAGGGAACGAACCGAACCGGTGCTGCAGAGGCTGTGGGCAGCCTCGCAGCCCAGCGCTCAACCGCTGTGCCACCAGGGGAGGCCTGGATTTCAGTCTCTTATTTAATGTCTGCATTTTTAATGTAGCTGGTTTGTTTTTCACATAGTGAATTTTTGTTTTTACAAATGATTGCACCCTATAACTTTAAAACCTAATGTAGTATCTAGTCGCTGGCATTTACTGATTTTGTTTTCCTTTAGGCTGAACATTTGCTCTTTCCCCTCCCTTTAAACTAGAAAGCTAAATGACCTTTCTGAGGGCATTTGAATAATTGTAATTTAAGTTTGAGAAGGAGGGAAAGGAAGCAAATAGCTTCTTATTCATGGACATAACATTTTTGTTAGTTTGATTTTGGTTTACTACAACTGTAGATCATAAAGGAAGATTATATCATCCTGTCAGGTAGATTTGGAGAAGGGAGAGAGCAGTTGCTGGGGTAAGCCCGGTAGCCCAGAACCATGGAGTAGTTAGAACACTGAGCATTGTCACATGTACAGGGCCACAGGTACTTAATCCATGATTGGGCTTATCTTTATGATCATTAATTAGAGGAACTCTGGTGCTGGCCCCAGCTGCTTGTGCACAGTAGGACAGAAAAGTCCAGAACAGACCTGGAAGCTATTTAGTGGATAGGAAATGCTTTATTTGGGAACCTGGATATGAGGGTTTTTTTTTTTTTTTTTAAGATTTATTTATTTATGCATACAAGAACTGGGGTATAGGCCAGAGGTGTGGGGGGTGAGAGGATTACCCAGAGACAGAGTGGCAGGCAGATTGACTGAAGTACACTGCTGAGGGGAGCAGCAGGCGAGTCAGGAGAGGTCTGCTGTGCATGTGGGTTGCTCCCTGGCCGAGTATCGAACTCATGCTGCAGTGGCTGCAGATAGCTTCATAGGTTGCGTCTTAACCCTTGTGCCACCAGAGAGGCCCCGGATATGAGTTTAATCTACTGATAAAATTGGATCTTCTTCCAGCACCATATTCTTTTGTGTAAGATGAGGGGTGGGGAGACATGCCTACTTCATTGTTGTATTAAGGACCAGATTAAGATAGTACTGTAGCCTAGCTGGCTCAGTACCTGTTTCATAATGTTGAAATTTTAACTGAATTTAAAGTCAATGAAACAGGGCCTGTGCCCCCAAGAATTATCTGTATCTATGTATTTCCGGGAAGAGGACATAAAAACACTAACAACATTTCATGGTGACATAGACCATTAGTTTTAAAATTGCCTGGCTGAATGTTTTAAAGGTATGTGAAGGGATTGGGGTTTGCCATTTTCATCTGGTGCTTGAATTTTACATATTTGGGTTTCATTTTTCCATTGACAAAGGCATTTGAGGATAGAGGAAGAAAATGTTTAGGAAACCACGGAACTAACAGTCAATTTTACTGTCTTCATTTAATGGTAGTTTATGAGAGGGTGGGCTTACTGGGCACTGAGGGATCCAAGAAAAGTCCACTAACCTGTGAAACTTGAACAAAGCTCTCCCTGAAGAAAAAGTAATAAGGACATGATGACAGGTTTAAATGACTCTATTTATCATGCAGGGAAAAAAAATTGGATTTATGCATATATTAGTGAACTGTTGATAGAGTGTGTTGACAAAGTATGCTTGTTAATTTTATTATAAGTGGAAGCACTGGGAATGCCTTTTGCAAGTGTCTAAATTGTGGGACCAGATATAAGTAGTTCTGTAAAACAGGTAAAATGCAGAATTGGTAAAATGCAAAAGCATAAGTCAAAGAGGATGGTGGAAAGTACATAAAACATTAAACTGGAAATAAAGGAAAGACTAGAGGCCCCAAGATAGTACATGAAGGAACCAGGAGGTCTTTGCCCTCAGCAGAGGAAGGTAAAGACACCAAGCAAGTAAGCCGCTAACTACTGCAGATTGACTTAATACAAATCTAGGTATGTTATATTCTGTATCTAGAATCATCTCTCTTTCTGGCTATGCACCTAAGCTGTTTGTTGGATTGTTAGACTGAGGCATGAAGTGGAGTGTGAGCTGGCTCTGGTGAATCCTCTCACATATACCCCCACACCTCTGGCCTGCACCCCAGCTCTTTTAGCATAAATAAAATCTTTAAAAAAAACAGATTGATTTTAGAGGCTTTGCTGAAGTACATTTTGGCAGTAGTGATTCAATTTAAAGGACTGCAACACAGTTGAACTCTCACATGCAGAAATTTCATAACCTCAATTACCCAGTCAAGAGTCTGAATTTTCTTTACTATTGCTTCAAACAGTGGTGCATGTGATTCTTAGTATCTTTTAAAGAAGTTAACTAGGTTTTAGTAAATAGATTATGAATGTGCTAAAAACTATATACTGAAAACTTTAACTTCTACCATTGTGCCCAGGTGTTTAGTTCTTCCAAGTAGCAATTTTTTTTAACAAGTGTTTTTTTTTCCCCCCAAAGATTTATTTATTTATATAAGGACTGGAGTGCAGGCCAGATGTGTGGGAGAGTGAGAGGATTTACCAGAGACAGAGCAGGGAACAGAATAGGCAGACAGACTGAAATACACTACTGAGGGGAGCGGCAGGCGAGACAGGAGAGGTCTGCCGTACCATGTGTGTTGCTCCACAGCCAGTGGGGATCGAACTGGCACTGCAGAGGCTGTGGACAGCTTCACAGTGCTGCGTGCAACTGCCTGCGCCACCAGGGAGGCCCCACAAGTGTGTTTTTCTAGAGATACTCTATGTATATACAAATACATTTTTTTTGGTTTTACATTATTTTACACAATATACAGTGTATACTTATGTATAGAACACACTTTTTGTTGAATAAATTGGGTGTATTGTCTGTTGCAGTGAGGAGAATGCACACCATGGAGCACATCTCAGAGGGTGGGGGAAAGGACATCTTAGAGAGTTTTGATTTATGTTAGGTAATTTAGGGGGAGTTTTAAGGAAGTGAGAATTTGCTCTGAATTGGGTGCTTTCAGGTTGTGGGGCAATTCTATTACATATCTTAATCTATAATAGGGCAGGAAAAATAAATAAAGCACTCACTCATATTAGCCATGATAGAGGGATACTGGTTTTGTGTTTCTGTAATGTTCGTTTGTGTTTTTGTCTGTTCAGACATGACTACTGAGTAATCTTGTTTTTGTAGTGATCTCAACAGATCATGCTTCACAGATCTCTGGTGTTGATATTCTGTGAGAACATCATTTTTTATGTTTACAGAAAACAAGGCTTAGCTGTGCATACCAGGCCAGCTTGAGCAACACCAGTTTCTAGCTTGATGGTTTGAGAGCTTTTGCTTTTTCTTTTTTAAAGATTTATTTATTTATGCATACAAGGGCTGGGGTACAGGCCAGAGATGCAGGGGGTGAGAGGATTCGCCAGAGACAGAGTATAGAACAGAATAGGCAGACTGACTGAATACACTGCTGAGGGGAGAAGCAGGCAAGTCAGGAGAGGTCTACAGCGCCATGTAGGTTGCTCCCTGGCCGGCAGGTATAGAACTTGTGCGGCAGAGGCTGCGGATTACTTCATAGTGCGGTGCTTAACCACTTGCACCACCAGGGAGGCCTACTGCTGCTTTTTCATATATTGCATTAGTTCTTTCCACTTATATACATAAAGAATGGGCTTTGTTTCATTCCTGTTTCTTTCTTTGATTTTTTACTTTGTAAAATCTTTTTCTTTATTTCATTCTGGATGATGCAGTATGCTGTCCCATTGTATAAGGTGAAGTTGTTGGATCAAAGGTTTTATGCATTTTTTTACCCCATCCCCTCTCCCACTTTGTGCATTTTAAATTTTGTTATTGTCAGGTTGACCTCACTAGCTGTACCAATTTGTTTTACCACTAGCAATGTATGAATTTGCCTGTTCACACCAAAATAACGTATTATTAAACTTTAGTATTTTTGCCAATTTGCAAATGTTATCTGATTCCCTTTCTATGTAAATAAGCTGCATTAATTTTTTTTAAAGATTATTTATGTGTCTAAGAATGGGGGTGTAGGGCCTCCCTGGTGGTGCAGCGATTGAGTGCTGGGCTGCAAACCTGCCCACAGCCTCTGCAGTGCCAGTTTGATCCCCAGCCGCCGGCGAGGGTCCCACATGGTGCGCAGACCTCTCCTGCCGCCCGCTGCTCCCCTCAGCAGTGTATTTCTTCGTCAGTCTGCCTGTTCTGTTCCCCGCTCTGGCTCTGGTGAATTCTCTCACCCTCCCACACTTCTGACTGTACCCAGTGCTTGTATAAATAAATCTTAAATATATATATATTAAAAAAAAAAAGAATGGGGGTGTAAGCCAGAGGTGCAGGGGATGAGACGATTCACCAGAGACACAGTGGGGAGCAGAACAGACAGACTGACTGAAATACATTGCTGAGGGGAGCAGCGGGTGAGACAGAGGTCTGCTGTGCCATGTGGGTCAGCTCCCTGGCTGGGGATCGAACTTATGCTGTAGTGGCTGCTGATAGCTCCATAGTGCTGAGACTTAATCCCTTGCACCACCAGGGAGACCGAAGAATTTTTTATAGATGTGTCGTGCTTGAGGTATGGAAGATGGGAAAAAATATTTATTGAACATTTGTTGAGCACCTACTCTATGCCAGGCACTATTTAAGCACTGGTACTTTTGCAGTAAACCAAACAGTTGCTTCCGTCAGGAATCTTTAGGCAATAAACAAATACATGAAAAAGAAAAGCATATGCCTGACAGCTGTCAGTTAGGAACTGGCCTAGTTATTGTGGCTTTCCCCTACTGAACACTTAAATAATGTTCATTTTATAGAATATCACCATCAGGTAAGGACTCTGTGTGACCGTGATGGATCCATACCATCTTCATTTGTAATGAGGCCTGCACAGACACTACACAACATGAAAATAACCATATACCCTGTTCTGATTAATACAAATAATTATTT